GTCTTTGCCTTCAAAACGCTCGACTTCAGCCTTCATGATGGAGATGTCGGTTGAGAGTTTGAAGGTAGTATCATCATGGAAATGGACATTGTAGTTCGGTTCGCATTTGACCAGCTTGACGCCCTCTGCATCGAGCGAGGTGCCCAGATCCTCGAATGTCTCATGGAAGAATCGAGGTAGGAGTAGTAAGCTCGGACCTTGGTCGAACCTCTGCGTAGCGATCAGCGTTGAGTCGTGCAATGCTGCCGCACGTTCGTCGACTTACATATCCGTGACGATGTATCAAACTGCATCTTCCGCCAGAGAAATCGTTCTTCTCGACTACAGTAACTTTGTAGCCTGCCGCTGCGAGCCGCGCTGCGGTAGCGACACCTCCGGCACCAGCACCGACGACGATCGCGCTAGGGCGCGTGCCCTTGTTCTCGATATGCTCCCCCATTTAGTAGACGGATTGATGTGTGAGAAGCGGCACAATTGCGATGAGCGTTGTGAAGAAGACGCGTTGTAGCGCGCCACGCTCGGGTATTCCTGGATCAGTCCACACCAAGACTGCCAGTCATGACGTCTACAAAAATCAATAGGGCTAGTTTGCACCTTGGGCAATTGTTGAGTTGCATCGGAACATTTGCGCTGCACGTGAAAGCTTCTGGCTGTCTGAATCCTAATCGGCATCTTTCCTTGGATGGTTTTCCGCCCCCTGCATGCGATGTTGAAGCCGATAAGCCACGCGAATGTAGCTCACATATGCTATCCGCGCGCAGCTTAGAGCGGAAGCCCGCGGACAAGAGATTGTCCAAAGACTTGGCGCATGCGCAAATACCTGTCACTTGATTATTCAGAGATGTTTGATTATTAGTGTTGTTCATCTCACGATGATCGTCGACGCTTCAACAAGTGCCCGCGATCGTGGGGTCCACTAGCGACGCTCGGCATTCACCTTGCAGCATGCACAGAAGATGATTGAACATTACAACATTATATTATTAGCGACTCAGAACGTCGTCTTAATTAAATATGGTGAGAATGTCGGTAGAGTTGGAGTACTCGGGCTGACATTCCTCAGTAAATCCGCCAAACATGTCGGCGCGCTCTTGAACAAAATCCTGGAACGCGCTCTTGGAGCAACTCTCTCCTGGGCCGTCGGCACAAGCCAGCGGTTGCGGGTCTTTGTTGACGAGGACGCGGACGTACTCGTCAGCGGCGAATCCGTAACTATCGCATGACATCTTCTCAACAGCAATGTTGGACAAGAAGGGTAGGATCCTCGATGATCTCCACGCTCTCGCATGGTTGGGCCTGTCGAGGGGCATTGTGATGTTTGGGTTGTTTACTCCGGTATTAGCGGAGTTGTTGAACAGGCCCATGGCGACTACGACGGTAGGAGGCAACTCGCGGTGAGTGAAAGAGACGTAGAGATCCTGGTCAGCCTCGTCCGCGAGCAACTCGACAGCGGTAGCGTTGAGCCAGGGAAGGCCAAGAGCACCCGACAGCTCGGGGCTTCCATAGCCGGTGTTGTAGAAGTACATGATATCGTTCATGTACTCGAAGGAGAGCCACTCGTCCTGGGAGAAGAGGTCGAGCGAACAGAAGGGGGAAGAGCCACGAATGACTGTCTCGTATCCGCACAGCTGCTGCATGCCTACAATGTCCGACTTGGTGAAGTTGAAGGCAGGGGCGTACGCATTCAACCGTTCGACGATGGGCTTGGTGTAGGTTTCTTGGTATTGCTGGAGGAGTCTTGTTAGTTGAAGTCATGTTGTCTTGGTGAGTTTACGTACAGATGACTGCTCGCTACCATACGAAGAGCTGTACTTGGGGCAACCCTTGTATGGTGTCAGGGAGTCTGCACCTCGAGCAGCATCCTCGCGGACGGAAACGCGCTCGGTGCCGTTACTCTCAGCCACAAGGCCGTCGATGAAGGAAGATGCACTGAGCTCGGTCCTCTCGGCCGTTGATGTCCATACGCGCTCAGGGTCCTTGAAAGTAGGGTAACGCAGACGGACATCGACACCCAGCTTGTACGATTGCAGCCTTCCAACCGAAGTGAGGTCCTCCAGCTCCTCGTCGCTGATGGGTGTCTGCCATTTGGACAGGAATGACAGGGGTCCTGCGCTCCGCCAGTCGGCCGTCGTGTTCTTCAGCTTGTCGGTGAAGGGCTCGATGTACTCCTCGTAGTCAAAGTCGTTGGCGTAGATGGCGGCATGGCGAATGAGGTACGACGCGCGCGTTACGTTGCAGCCCTGTGGCGGCTTGGGGTCGAGACGCGGGTCCTCGAAGTATGGGGCAATGCCAGCAAGATGCTGCAGAGGGTCGAACGAGTAGGCGGCCTGTGCCGTGGCTGCATTAGCAATTGCGAGGATGGAAACGAGGGCCGACTGCATGGTGGGCAATGTAGGCTAGAGCGCGAGCCGTACCTAGGAAAGTTGGGATACATGATGGCCTTTAAGCTCTGCCCCAGGCTGCGCAAACGATGTCATTGTCCGGATCCAGCGTGCCGTACGCTGTGGAGAAAGCCGAAAGCAGGGCGTGCTCGACCACAACCGACGGGATATGACGATGTTTGCCAGGTACCTGCCAAGGCAGCGGTTGCGCATTGACCTCACCAGCCACGTCAGCCACCATCTCACATCTTCCGGCTCCTCAATGGGTGGATACGGTGAAAATAAAAACAATCAAATAACCAGGGGTATTGGGTAGCCAACTCGCTTCTAGCATTACACAGTCTCGTCACACACCGTCTCGTCACACCACGTTCGCCCGTCTCTGCAGCGTCTGCACTTTGAGTTCCAACACTTGGCAGTCATTCTCCTTGCGGTGTAGATCTCTCATGAGTCCCTCCTTCTCCGACCGGAGAGCCTGCAGCTTGCCTCCGATGCTCTCGCGGTATGTGGCATGTTCCTCAAGCAGGGCTTCAATTCGGTACCAGTCCATCTGCCCGCTTCCTCCCGAAGCACCCTGAGACCGTAGTCGCTCGAGCTCAGCGTCTTTGGCCCTGATCTTGGATTCAAGATCAGCAACGGTCCCTTTCCACGCTTGGTGAGCGGTCGATCGGTTTAGATCGTCGATGCTGCCACCTCGCGGCGCCCCTAATTGCGCGACAAGATCAGAGTTTCGCTTTTCCAATTCGAGAGCTCGTTGCTCAAGAGCTGCCACCTTGGCCGCGGTAAAGAGGTCGGTTGTGTCGCGCCTTTCGAGAAAGCTGCCTGGACGTCCCCGGCTTGGACTGCTACGTCCAGTCTGTGCATGCAGTCGCTCCACCTCTCTTGTCTTTTCCGCAAGCTTGCTCCGTACAATCTGCACGTTGATGAGATCTTCGTCGCGCAGCTTTTTGGTCGCGTCCAGTTCGCGTCGACAGCTAGCTAGTAGTCCCTGTATCGACATGTTAGTGAATGGCTTGCGCTAATCCATCGTCTTCACACTTACACGAATCTTAATGTTGTTCTCTACATCTTCGTCTCGAAGGGCCCAGATGGCGTCGTGTCGCTTCCACCATGTCTTCTTCTCGTCTTCCAACGCTTTCAGACGCGCCATCGTCTGCTCGTACTCTTCAGGCTTGACTGATATGGCAGGATTCGATTGTTCGATGTAGACAAGCTTGGACATTAGGGCGGCAAGTTGCGACTCCAGAGGACCAGGGACATGCGGTGCGGGTGCTGGAGATACCGGTTCCTGGCCTGTAAGGCTCATCTTCGTGGCTGAAGGCGCCAATGACTTCTTCGATGGATAAGGGACGTCCTCCTCGTTGCCGTCCAGAGTGGAAGATCGCGATGTCGCATCGTCGTCCACCGGTCGCTCAACAAAGGTTCGCTGGTCTTGATATTGCGGTTTTTGCACGTTGACAGGATGTACGACGTCGTTCGCCTTCTTCTGAGAGAACAAAGGTGCTGTGGGGTTAGGTTGTTGCTGTTGTCGTTGCATTTGCGCCATGGCTGACATGGAGGTGTCTTGTGGACGACGGGAGTATTGTTGTGGCTGTGGCTGTTCGTCCTCTGAACCCAAATCAGAGTAGTTGTCGGACTCGTAATTCGTCGGTCGTCTCTGCATTTGAGGTGAACTCATGGAAACGGGGCGACTGCCTGATTGAAAGGATGCGATAGAATGGACAGATGGTGTGCGTTTCGCTCCTGGAGTTACGCGGTTTGGTGCCCACATCTTATGCTGGGGTTGTGGTCGGAAGGGTACTGCGCAACGTCTGCGTGTATGGCGGGCCGGATTAATCGAAGGAAGAAGCTGAGCTCAGCTAGGCCTCTTAGTAATTAAGATGAATTTGATATCTGTCAATAAATTGAGGTTCAACTCAGCCTCTATGTAGTCCATCGTGGATTCGCGGTCATGCTATGAAACGGTGCTGAGACGCAGGGGTCACGACACAGAGATCTGCGACACAGACAGATGAACGACAGCCGTATCAGCCTGAGATTGCCTTTGAGCCTTGGACTGCACAATTCCGACTTGGTACAACACCTCGAGTCCGTACTTTTGAAAAGGCTCCACTTGGAGCCCCATCTCACCATGGTGTAACACCAAATTCTACGCGAGTCATGGCGCCGTTTGCCGATAGTTCAGACTAGAGCAGACCCGGCGCTACGGATGCTGGTCTGAAACACTTCGAGCCGCGATCTTGTATCAACACTACCGGTTATCACATCCTGTCTAACACGTATTCGTGCCCTCGTGCAATAGATGCCTCAGCCAAGCTGTAGGCATACATTTCTGATGAGATTACGGACTTGTGCGTGCACCATGTCAAGCAGGGCATCTTCGATATTGAATGGAGCTGTGCTACGCTGGGGTGCGGACGAATATATACAGTCTTATCACATATCGTAGCGGTCCGTTTCGTGGTGAGCAGGCCTGTATACGAAGTAGTCAAAAGACGCCACCTTCTCTGTGCCGTTGCAATCAGATGCCGCCATACCCACAAATGCGCCCGTGAAGCTTCCATGTCTGTGTTTGCAAAGTCAGCACGCATCGTCATGTGAGTGAAAGAGGAAAGTAGCTCACGCTTGATGGCCACCACACTCATCACTGAGGATCGAAGCATCATAGACCGGTCCAATCTCTGTCAAGTCCTTTTGTCCCTCTAGCGCGTAGCTAAATTGGAGTTTTCTACCCCGAATGCTCAGCGCCAATCGTACCTTGCCCTCTTGTGGGAGTGACACCGGCTCCGCGAGCGGGAGTTTCAAATTGCCGTCCGGCCACGAAGCTTCCGAGCTCAAGATAAGCAGTTCGCGCTTACCATCAGAGTCGGCCGTGACGGTCAGGTAGAAGAAGTTGAAGCGGCAGTAGTAGGCAGTCAGACCTGCGAATGTGCGTTCGTCGTCTGGGCTGAAGCTAACGACTGTCTCGGCATCATACGAGAAATGCGTTTGACGGCGTGCAACAAGGGCTTGTTCGAACCAGGATCCAACGGCCTCGCGCCCAATGAGTTGCAGAGCACCATCTTTGACGTTGAAGATGCGCTCTGGCTCCGGGGTGCGGAGCCACTGGAAGTCTTTGTGGAGACCATCTTTGCTGTTGAATTCGTACCGCTGCTCAGCCCAGTATGCGGTATCGTCGCGCGCTGCCGGCAGTTCGACATGGAGAGATGGAACGGGCCCATTCTTGACATATAGCCAATCGTCCTTGTCCCAGTAAGCCTCTTGAATAGCGCATTCACGCCCAAGAACACAGCGACGGAATTGTGTGGTAGGGCGGCCAGCCAGATGGACGATGTATGTTTTGCCGTCCGGAGTGTCGACTATATCTCCATGACCAGCCCTTTGTAGCGAAGCTAGCGGTGCGTCTTTGGAGGTGATGATGTGCTTTTGAGGGTGCAATTCGTATGGGCCCCAAATATCGCGGGATCGTGCCAAAGTACAGGCGTGTTCATATGCTGTGCCGCCCTCAGCAGTCAACAAGTAGTACCACCCGTTCCGCTTGTATAGATGTGGGCCTTCCACCAGAGCTAAGTCGCTACCGGGGAAGATAGTCTTCCATGGGCCAACAAGTTTCTTCGTTTCAGGATCCCATTCCTGCATTCTGATTCCCTACAAGTAGATCCATGAGCTCGGTATCTGCTGCAACGACTTGCCGCCGCCGGAAGGCATTCACTTACAACGAAGAACTGCTTACGTCTTCGGTGGTCTTGCAGCATATTTATGAAGTACTTCTTGCCATCGTCATCGTGGTACAGTGAAGGATCGAATCCTGAGTGGTTGATGTAAATGGGGTCAGACCACGGACCCTCGATGCGATCGGCAGTGACGATGTAGTTGGGCGTGTCTTTGAAGGAGCCATCCTTGCGTTTGACGTCTGTGTACACCAACCAGAATTTGCTGCCGTCATGTGTGAGACAAGGTGCCCAGACACCTAAAGTCTGTCAGAAATGCGCGGATACATTCGATTCTGATCGAATACGTACCGCAACTATCGGGGTCACCGCGCATGTCCAATTGACTCTTCCTGCTCAGTGGGCGTGTGACAAGCTCCCAGTTGGCGAGATCCGTGGAGTGGTGTATTTGCACTCCTGGAAACCACTCGAAAGTGGATGTTGCAATGTAGTACTAATTTGACACAATTAGTACGTGCCATGGCCTACTTCTAAGGTCTGAGGTTCAACAATCCCCAGATCACATCGAAAAATCCCAACGGTGGCTTTCATGGTAGTCCCGCAGTCGAAATCGGGGAGTTGTAGAAACTGTAATACTCACTATGGTACTCTGGTTAGCTCGTTTTCTGAAGTTGAACAAAACAATATCTTACCGTCATTTCCAACACGCAAGACCGATGGGTCCGCGTTGAAACCTGGAAGAATGGGATTACGAACTAGCGGCATGATGGTGGGTTAGACGTTATGTGTATTGTTTGCGATACTCTCGCATGACAGCTCAGCTATATACGGTGCTTCTCATCGAAGATATCGGCGACTGCCCGCAATGAATTAGCCGGCTGCGAACCGCCTCTTTTGCCGGCGCCTACTTGGCCAACAGCTGACGATACAGTGTTCTCAACCCCGCGCCTGGCCCGACATGCAACATCACGCCGAAGGAAGCGAAAACTGGAGCGAATAGACGCGCACCTCCGATTATGATGACGCAAGGCACTGTCATGTAGGATGTAACGAAACGCATAGCTAACAACCTCAAAGCCAATGATGTGAATTGTCAATGTGTAGAGTCAAGGCCTGATGGTACACATAGTTTGGCCATCAGGCAGTTCAGCATGAGCTAGATTACTTGCAATGATGTTACCAAATCCAAACAGGGAGGTGCTCCACGCATCCCAGGTTATGAATTATCCAGTATCCACATGCGGCTCACTTGACATACAGTCTAGCGAGCACCGAGTATCTCTAACCCGTGCGGTATATACGGGAATCGGGGGTTGTTATCCCGACATGAGCGCTAATCCTCACAATGCCGCGCCCACACTTGCCACATGGCAAAGGCTTCACGACTCGTGTAGCCCTTCTAGTCTTGGTCCTCTGACACACCTTCGTTACCCACTTCCGGTCTTTCTGAGTCTTGGTTATTGGTAGGATCGTTACTTGGTGCCTCATCCACGTTCGATGAAGCGACGACACCCGCGGGAGGAACAAAAGTATCGCCTTCATCGGTGTCTAATTGCATCAGGAAAGTCTCCCAAATCTCGATGAGCTAGTACGCCAGTCAGTAAGCCGGAATATTAGGTGTGGTAGGTGAACTTACTTCCTTCTGTGCTTCTACAGCACTCTCTAAGAAGGTTTCCACGCCTGACTTGAAGTCTTCGACCTTTTCTCTCTCAAAGCGCTCTAGCTCACTGCGCATCAGACGACCCATATCGTCGAAGAGCAGCCTTGCTTGGTGGACCTTGCGTTCGGCATCTGCAACGTCGGCGCTAAGCTGGTTGAGACGGTCTTGCTGTGATCTGCCTTGCCTCAATAGTTTGTCCTGGTTGGTTTTCCGTTTCTGTAGCTCCTGTTCGGCAGAATGCCAGGAATGGTAGGCCTTCTGTCGCTGCTGGAACGCGGTCTTTACAGAGCCTATCAAACGAATGTACTCGTCTATTACGATGCCCATGGTGAGGATGTCCTGTTGGGCTTGGCGCTCGTAAAGCTCTCGAATGCGGATTTGGATATCGGATAGGCTATCAAGCGGACCGGACAGAGATGGTGATAACTCGACAGCAGATAAAGAATGCAGAGAAGCCGAGAAGTCGCCACACGCCTCAGCTAGACCTTTCCGCTGTGTGACTACAGAGTCAGTAGCCTTGAGAAGAGCTTTTAGCTGTGCCTCTAGAGCATCGAGGTAGATTCTGCGGTCGTGGAACCACTGTGGTACTGTTAGTATAGTAAGTAGTCATGAGAATTGTTATACGTACGTCGTCATGTTCAACGAATTTACCACTGCTGCCAGAGAGCATAGAGCCAAACATGCCTTTGCTTTCGCTTATACCGGGATCTTTGCGCTCTTTGTTCTTGATGTCCATGTTGAAGGCTTCGCTTTCGAGGAACAGCTTCAAGTCACTGTCGTGTTGCAACACTGGATGCGCAGCCGCCTTGTTCAGCATACGCTCCAGAGCGGAGCGTCGCGACTCAACAAAATCGGCTTCGAAGCGCCCAACGGCCTGTTTCTCCGGTGGTGGAGGGATAATGACTCCGGGGTTGTTGTTGTGCAGTTGTGTGTATAGCCAGAGGAAGTCACGGTAGCGGCGCGAGACGGTAAATTCGGGGTTGCGGTAGCCCTTGGACGTCGTCTTGGTAGTAACGGAGTACTCTGTGTGCGAGCTCGTGAGGTCACCGACTTTGTGAGGGTCGCCCACCGAAATGGCAAAGGACGGCTTCGCGGCCTGCTCAACGCTGACGCTTGGCTGTGTCTGGCGCTGGGGGGCGGCATTCGAAGGAGCCTGTACTGGAGGCGGTACTCTGGCTCCTTGAGAAGAGCGTAGCTGCGCGTCGTCGTCATCAAGGTCGACCGAATCCATCATGCCGCGCAGCGAAGGCGTGGAGGCGTCGGGGGCGGCCCGAGTGGTGCGCGACGCAGCAGCTTCCTTCTGAGGCGGCGCTGGGGGAGCAACCTCAGGGCCTGTCGACGGCGAGGGAGCACCCAGAGGGCCCAGCGGGTCATCAACAGCCTCAAGCTTGGTCGATTGCAGGCCATATTGTCGCCTTCTGGGGCCGCGTCCTGCGGGCGAGCGCGGGGCGGCGGAGGCGGTAGGGGCAGCATCGGTCGCTGGCTTGGATGAGGTGGTGGAAGATTCGGCGTCCAGGTTGTCGTTCTGCTCTACCTTGTGAGTACTCGGCGCAGGGCTCGACCGTGAGGGCACATCTGGAGGCTTGTCAGCTGTGCGCAGTGTCGTCGGCAGGACAAGAGACACGTACCTCCCCACGGAGAGCTCCCTTCATCTCCAAGGTCCATTGGCGCAATGATTGGGTATGTGTGGGTGTCGTGGTAGTGGAAGTCGCAGGTGCCGTGGGAAGCCTATGGTATGGCCATGGCAGCTATGCATTGGCGCTGGGGTTGGCTACGGCTATGACATACAGGGTCCACTAGTCGCAATCCCCATCACCTCACAACATGTCGCATCATTTCGCCGTCTTTCTTTCTAACAGCCTCTCTGGCGTTTGCATTTATTACAGATTACTACCCAGGCTCACTTTCCCATGTTCACAGGTATAGCCGACTTTGCCGTCTTCCGACCCCAGCCTCATCACCCCCCTCGTCTGGCCTAATCGTTTCCCAAGATGGACGACCCAGCTCTCGACAAAGACCTTGGTGCCCTCAGCGGCAGGCCTAAGGTAGGTCGTGTTCACTATGCTGAGTTAGCACATTCCATATTCCAACCTCTTGGGTGCTTCAAGGTTGCACTTACAGTTACGTGAGACATGTCCGCCGTCCCAGAACCCTTCGCGGATACAAGGCGTAATGGCCATGGAAGTTGTAATGTCAAAGATCAAAGCCACGGCTCCGCCATGAAGCATACCGCCAGCGTTGCACAGCTGCTTAGGTACCGTGAAGCTCATGATGTTGCGCGACTCGTGAGGATTGCTGCTTGTCGGCGCATAGGTTACCGATTCGACCTTGAGTTCTCGCGCAAGGATAGCATCGTGGCCCTATAGATATAGCATTAGAGCAGCGTGATGGACTCAACAAGGTAACATGCATCGTAATCACTGTCGCGTATGGCCTCAAACCATTGCGATACTTTCTGGAATGGCGACAGATCCTCTTCGTCGCCTCCTGCAGCTCCTCTTGCGCCTTCTTTGTTTGCAAATCTACTCATATTCGAGCGTCGTGAATGTAAAGAGACATGACGCTGATGGAGCAGTGTCAATGATGCGAGATGCAGGCGGGACCTCGGTATCTCCAACAGCACTAACTACTTCGAGCCGCGTCATCCGAAAATATGGTACAGATACCAAAAGTTCCATCCCACGCGCGCTGAGCACACCTATCGAAACAACGTCTAGCCATGGACCCGTCCGGACTCTTCCGCCAGCTGCTACGCATGCCCGTAGGCCACCGAACCGCCCTACTCGCGCCTACGCGTCCGAACGCGCGCGCTTTCGCCATGTTCGCACCCCCGCTGTCGCACCCACGCTTCATGTCCCTCCCGCGCATTGTCCAGCCGAGCTTCTGGGCCTCTCTGATACCAACGCCACTCAAGACGCGCTCTGAGAGACCTAGGCGCAAAGAATGGAACCCCGCTACCCCGTACATCATTCTTGGATTGCTCGTTGGCAGCCAGGCTATCCAGATATTATGGTTGAAGCAGGAGAGGACACACAACCTTCGCAAAGCCGAAGCGAAGATTGGGGTATTGAAAGAGGTCATTGAGCGTGTACAGAGAGGGGAAGACGTCTCAGTGGAAGCGGTTTTGGGAACGGGCAATGAGGCTGACGAAAGAGAATGGGCTGAGGGTAAGCCAACACTCTGGAACACGGCATGATTAGAGACAGTCTGGAAGCTGACATGTGATAGTTCTGAAGGATATCCAGGACGAAGAGGCTCTTTTCCAAAGTAAGAAGAGGAGGAAGGCACAGAAAGATGCTGCTATCCAAGAGACTGCCCAAACACCGGATAAGGACCAACAAAAGACACCAAGGACCAAGTTCACGAAACAAGAAGTAGAAAGCGTTGGAGGTGTGAAGTTCTACTGAGCTTGAAAAAGGCTACGTGATATGGAAGTTGATATCGAACGGACATCTAAGCCTCTTGTGCGGACCAGCCGCTCAAGCAGAGAGCTCAAAAAGAATGGGTATCGAACAGCAGTGAAGATCTGGCATCCGTCGCCGCCACCATCACCATCAAACCTCATCACCACTTCGCTCCTCGCCTTCGCCTTCCTCTTCTTCGTTCTCGCCATGCTCTTCGTCAGACTCCTCGTCATCTGTCTCAACCGTGAACCCAGCCTCCAAAAACTTCTTCACAACCTTCGTTCTCTTTGCACGCTTTCCGTTGCCATTGTTGTTCGAGTCTTTGGTGGAGCCCCTAGCCTCGGGGTTGTCGCACAAGAGCGCAAGAGTAAGACCTCCACGCAAGGCATCATCGCACGCCGCCTTCACGTGCTTCAACAGGAAACAGATACGGGCCAAGCGCCTCTCCGCGCTCCCCTCGCTGACATCGGTGAGCTTACCGCGAACCACCTTCTTGTGGTAGACATTGGGGCGAACCCAGCCTCGCGTGTGTACGGCGACGGCCTCGTCGAAGACGTGGTGAGCCGTAGCCTCGATGTCCGCGGGATCGTACACCGCCTGTTTCTCAAAGCGAACGAGCTTGGTCGACTTCTCGCTGTCGCGGACGTCGGAGACGTCGATGATGGAGTCGTAGATACGGCGTACCCAGTACATGCCTAGAAAAAGATCTGATTAGTTCATGTTGGAACAGTAATGAATATGCTGTGACTTACGTCCATACTTTTTGACGCGCTCGACATCTGGTGCTGGACCCTTCTTTGGAACGCGGGCGCGCTTGCGGTATGCTCTAGCGGCTGCGCCGGTCTTGAAGCGCCCGCTGAATGCTGGATAGATGGGCTGTGGATCCGACGGATCAGGCTCAGGAGCGTCGAATTCGATGGGAATAATCTCATATCCATCCTCATCTATCTCGGGCTCCCATGGAATGGGTAAGTAGTTGTCCTCGGTGAGAGCTCCCTCTGGGACCGGAGCACGTGGCTTGGCCGGTTGGAATCCAAAAGAGCGCATCAGATCCTGGTATACGGCGTTCTTCTTCTTCCCGGACAAGGCGGCGATAGCCGCAGCCTGTTGAGCTGGACTGAGTTCTCCAGAGTGAAAGCGTGCACAGAACTCCTCAAAGTTGAACTCGGCATCGGAACTACTGTACTTTGGAGCCTGCGGCTTCTCGTTGCAGGCCTGTGCAGTTTGCTCTTCGATGGTAGATGCGCAGCCTCCATATTGAGTCTGAGTCGAAGCAAGTGTATGTTGTAGAGATAGCTCCGAGTTGGTGTCAGTGAAGTTGGTGTTGTCTTGGTTGCCGGTGAACTCGTTGCTGTCGAACAGGCCGTGGTCAAAGTCCATGTTTCCAATGTCGAAGTCGAGGTTGTTGGTGGATGCTGCTGCAAGTGTAGCGAAGGCATCGTGGATAGCAGCGTGATCGTTGGCGTGGTTGTTGGCCTGTTCGTTGTGACCGAGATCTTGGTGTTGAGCAAAGTCGGCGTCGAACTGGAACCCAGAAAGATCACCCAAGCCGTCGTCTTGTTGATGAAGACCGGAATCAATGGGCTCGATGGGGCTGAAGGCAGGTAGCTCGGGGTTGCCGTCGACAGGCACATCAGGAAGAACAGTCGAAACGTTGCGTCCACCAGCACCTGAATCCAGAGCCTCTGAGCGAGCCGGAGAGTTGGGAGCTTGAGGTGAAGACATGGTAGCTCGAAAGAAGCGGTGCCAGACCGAGTGACGAAGAAGTTTGAGTGTGAGAATATAGAGACGACCAGCGTCAAAAGCAAGGCAAGTTGAAAGAAGAAGAAGAAATTGAGCAAAGATAGAAGTTGGTGAGTAGAAAGTAGGTTGCAAGGAGGAGAAGGACCAGAAGCTGTAGAGATGTTATACTAGCCCTAGACCCGTGGGCTGCTCCGTGTGTATCGTTTTCTCCATTGTCGAGACGTCGGACAATAGTGCGTGATTTTTTCCTGTACAAAGTCCCATTCTGGAGCTCGAAGATGCTTGTAACTTTCATATCACCGTATTGTTTGGTCGGTCTCGGCGAATCACAGCCCGTCGTTCCTATTGTACCACGTGGGAGAGCGACGAGGTCGGGGCGCTAGTCGAGTCCCCTTCACCTTCACTTTTTTGTGAAGAGTCAACAGCCTCTTTCTCGAACAATAGAATGAACAAATATGCGCGCGCCAAAGGCTCACTTTTTGCAATACCAAATCATATACATTAAGATATCAAAATCCTACATTTGCCAGTAGTTGTTCCTGAATCAATAAACTCCTCTGACATCCATGACATGATTTGCAAACCGCTACGTCATTGATGCGCAAACTGAGCAACATCAACTGAGTGCCAGAAAGTGGACCAAGGCGCAAGAAGCTCAAGAGTCTTGAGTCAATGATCCTGCAATAGCAAAAATGGTATAAAACGAAATCCCATCGAAACACGATGGTACCATGAGAAGGAGAAAGTGTAAAAAACCAAATTACGCCTTACAAATCGCTGAACACATGTCCCATCAAGTAGCAGCAAAGCGTTTCAAGGTTCGTGTGTGCCTTTACGAAGATCCGTGGACTTGTGTAGGCGAGATCATGGTTGCAGCCGGCTGAACAGAATTTGGGCCCTGGCTGCCTGTGGCAGTCTGTGGACCATCGTCGCTCTCCACCCTCTTCCTCCATTGCGAAAGTTCATCCACATCGTCGTTGTTATCGTTTTCAGGCATGCGTTCAAAATCAAAGCGGTCGCTCAATCGGTAAGCTTTGTTGGTAGTTTCCCAGTGACTCCTGAGTGCGTCCAACTCAGAAGCGAGATTGTCAAGGGCCATTGAGTTTCGTGTAGCAGAAGATGAAGGGCGGGGTATGGCTTCTGGCGTGCTGGAGCCATCGTTGTGGCTGTACAGAGACTCGGCCGATGCAACGCTATCGTGTGCCCGGTGGCGACTGTGTTCAGGGTGGGCGTTCTCAGCCGGAACCTGGGATTGGCGGCGGTAGTTATCGACCGATGTCTCAAACTGATCGAGGAACATTTGGACGCGGCTCTCAGCTTCGCGTGCACGCTCTTCTGTCTGTGCATACTGTCGGCGAAGCGATTCGAGGTCTGCCTGGAACTGAGCCGCCTGATGCTCGGCCTGCTTCGTGGCATTCGTTGCCGTCTCGGCATCGGCGCGAGCGGAAGCCAGATCGGACTGCAGTTTGGACAACTGGGTCTCGAAACGCGAAACGGTAGCTTCCATGTTCTCCCGCGACTTGTCCAACTCCGAGCGGAGTGCCGTGCGTTCTGCGTCCAATTCGGCGTGATTAGCTTCGTCAGCAGGGCTACGCTTGTCTTGTCTCGCTTGAGTGAGTTCTTCCTCGAGCTTCAGGTTCGCGCTCTTGTAACGATCAAGCTCCTGTTTCATCTTCGAGAGCATCTTCTCTGTACCACGGAGGTACTTGACGGCAGCTTGGTGGTCGTTGTGAAGCGCCTGTAGCTTCTCCTCCCATTCTTTACTGACCTCATGCTCACGCTCCTCAAACATGGAACGCAACTCCTCATGTGCTTTGGTCATAGAATCCACCTGTTGTTCCAGCTCGCGAACGCGGTTGAACTCCGGTGTGCCAAATCTTGAGTTTGGACTGTCTAGTACCCTCGAGCGTCGCGTGTCAACAGGATTCACACCTCTTTCATCAAGAAGATTGCGAAGAGTCTTGAGTTGAACTTCAAACGCATTGCTCTCGAGACGCAGACGTTCGTGTTGTTGGCGAAGCTCGGTACGTTCAGCTTCGGAGAGCTGTACATCTCGCATAGCCTGTTGTAATTGTTTACGGATGGTCAGCCCCTCACGACTAGATTGCTCTTGATAGGCCTCAAGACCGGCGATTCGTTCTTCTGCTCGTCGAAGCTTCTCCGACGCTTGATCAGCTGCTGTCTGGTTCTTGCGGGCCATGGTATTTGCAGCTTCGACTTGCTGTTGCAGCACCACGACGCGCTCATCGGCATTTGCGCCATCGTGCTCGGAACGTTCCGTCATCGTTTGCAGACCAGAGAAAACAGTGGCTCGATGAAGGCGTGCCTCTTCTGCATGGCTCTCCGCTAGCTCCTCCGCATCGCGAAGCTTCTGTGTCGTAGTCTCCAGTTCCAGAACGCGTGCCTCGTATTCGCTACGAAGCTGGCTCAACTTCTGGCGCAGGTTCTCGCTTTGCGTCCGCTCCTCGTTCAGTTTCTTTTCCAACAATGTTGACTTCTCTGTAGATGCAAAAACCGCATCGCGTAGAGATTGAATGACGGAAGACTGAGTTTTCGATTCTTCGGACACCTTAGCAACCCTGGCGCTCAGCTCTTGCTTGTCGATGGCTAGCAGCTTTGATGCCGATTCCGCTTCTGCGGCGCTAGTGGAAACTTCTCTTGCGATACGCTCAGCTTCGTGCAACTCGGCGCGTAAACTCTCTGATTCAGCCGTAGCCTTTTGTCGGGTCGAGTCCAGTTCTTGTACGCGTTTCTGCGCAGCTTCTGCGGTTTCCTCTGCTAGCTGCTTGGCCTTCTTTTCGGCGTCAATCTGACGAGTCAAATGCTCCACCTTGGTAGCCAGGTCGCCCTGAGCAGCCAAGGATGTAGCTAATCGACGACTGATGTCCTGGAGGCGATCGGCGTCAGGTGTACTTGTGCTTCGAGCTCCATCTGGCTGTGGGGTTCCGTTCTGACTACCGCCTCCATGAGCCGCTAACTTGGTTTTTGCGTATATGGCTTCGCTGACGGCTGCATCCCGCTGCCTCTCCACTTCAGCGATCCTCTTTGCAGCATCGTCACCTTGGGCTTTGATTGACGTTTGCACTCGTTCAAGCTCGGTCTTCATATTAAGAAGCGCCTCCAGCAAAGGTCTGTCTTCATCCCGAAACGCGTCGGCCGATCGTTCATCAAATACAGGACTTGTGGAGTTGCCCGAACTGTAACCTGCTCGACGGGCAAGTGCAAGCTCGGAGGCGTACCATGCGTTGCGACTCTTGACGTGCTCAAGTTCTCTGACCAGGTCAGCATTTCTCTGGTCGTTGGCGAGCGATGCGTTCTTCAGGCCTTCGCTGGGTAATTGATCAGCGTCACGGACAAAGCCGCGATGCTGCTGTGTTTCGAAAGACTGCCTCGTTGCCTGGTCTGTACTATCTTGAGAAGCTTGCGCACGGTGAGACTTGGACGTGTTCCGTGAAACGGTGGTGCTAGCGGTGCGCATAGTGTCCATAGACTCCTTCGGGGTACGTTGGCTTACAGCATCCGAAGCCTTCCTTTGCATGTCATTCGTAGACGGGCTGTCGCGGGTCATGGGTGACATGTTGTCTCTATCCACGGCGGATACAGCTCCCGTATCGATAGGTGGGCCGTATCCGCGTTCGTTTTTGGTGGGAGTCTTGCTCCTGGGCTTCGCGGCACCCTGTACGACAACGCCATTCTCACGAGGTTGCGGAGGCTGCTGAAGTGGCGGAGGGCCTGGGGGCCCCTGATTAGCTGCACGAGGCAGCCGTGATCCTGGATTAATACCGTTGCCCATGTTCTCTGGGGCTCTTGTCATTTGGGGGCCGGACATCATGCTCTCGCGCGTTGGAGGGGAGCCGACTTTAGCGGGAGGAACGTTGCTTCTCTCACCACCACTCATCTTCCGCTGGGTGTTCTGCGTTTGTGGTGGAGGAGCACTTTCATTGGGCGGATACCTTATCTTGGATGTGTCCAGTATGTAACTAAGGCTGAGCTCGTTCCTGTCACTGACTGAAGAGCTGGGCTCGCCAGCCAAGACGACGATGTGCTTTCCAAATGCGGTCATGCTATGTCCTGATCGGGCTGACGGGGAGTGGCCCATGTTTTGGAACATGTACCAGCGGCGGGAGGAAATCCGGAATGCGGCAAGGTCGCCCAAATCAACGCCTTCCTGAGTGCGCCCGCCAAAGATGTACATGGTGTCGTTTACGAGGGCGGCAGAATGGCCTTCACGGGCTACGGGAATATAACCAATGCAGTCGAGCTCCGTCCACGCGTTGGAACGTGGCTCATAGGTCCAGACATCGTTGAACCAGGTGATGCCGTCTGTGCCACCGAACCTGAAAACAATCAGTCAATCAAAGTTCGAACAAGGCAAGAAATTGGGATACGTACAGATAGAGCTTGTCGTTCCAAGTCACCACCGAGTGATTGGTGCGGGCTGGTGGGGATCTGCCCTGTGGAGAGGCCTGTTCCTTGGTGTTTGGTAGTAACACTTCCCATCGGCTGGCCGAAGATTGCAATGAATTCAGGTCGAACGCTACTAGATCGTTGAAGAAGAAGCCCTCAACCTGTCCGCCGAAAATGTATATCTTGGAGCCGAGGATGTTTAGGGTGTGTCCGTAGCGACCGGTGGGACGGGGGCCTTGTGGTAGTGCGCGCGACCAGTGTTTTGTAGCTGCGACACGTTAGTCGGAGGTATAGGCCATCCAGGCTTTACGCACATGTGTTGAGGAGATACAGGGTATCGTCCAGGTCATCGTTGTCAGCCAGTTTGGTGTCTCCTCCGAAGACGATGAATGCATTGCCAACGAGCAAACTGGCGTGACCGACGCGGGGACCAGGGCCGTCTCCCGTGGTGGAGATGGGATAGCAGGCCATGCTGCCGTTGCCCATTTCTGTCAGCCACAGATCACCCTTGACCGTCGCGCCGCCCACCAGTCCACCCATGAGGTAGATGGTGCCATCCTTGGAAGCCGTGGCATTGATGGCGGCGCCGTATCGCGGGAACGGATTGCCTGCGGTGAAGTTCAGGCGGCGGGAGGACCAGGGGTAAGGCGAGTCTGGCGAATTGCCGGCAAATCTGGGATTCGTGTTCTGTCGCAGTCAGCACAGGCGCGGCACGAGGAAGTTGCGATGGCGCGTACCTGAATGTTGGTGTCGGCCTTCTCCCGCAGGGCCTTGGGCTCGGGGGTGGGCGCATTTGCAGGATTTTGGAGGGAGCTCAACGAGTTGTTCACACTGGTGCCGGGCGTGGGTGTCTGGGACGGGGGGCCGCCACGGGGCTTCTCGAGTTCGCGTGAGCCAGTGCCATTGACGGCGGGGGGTGGTTGGCCTGGGCCATGCGACGAGGTGATTTCCCGAGTTGCTGGGGGCAGCGTATTCGACTGCTGCTTGCTCTTCTTGCCGAAGAGAAAGGACATGGCGGCGGCGGTGGTGCGAGGGCGGTGGTGCAGGAGCGGCCGGGGCCTATCGCGCACGCATTCGGCCTGGGAGACAGAGACAGAGGGAGGAGAGGCGGAGCGCACGCAGAGGCTGGGCTGGCGAGGGTGAGGTAATTAGACAGAGCAATGGACGGGGCGCGCGCGCATGTCGTACGGCTGGGGAGAGGACAGGACAGCAGAGCGTGGTAGGGATGGGCGGCGGCAGCTTTTGGGGGGCTGTATTATGGCCTGCTGAGGATGCGGAGGCAGACGACGGCGCAGCAGTTCCAAGGGCGACACGTCCGGTAGACACACAAGGAAAGACGACCAGGCGGACAACGGGTTACGGTGGTCGGTCTGCTCTGTTCACCTTGCGCCCCTGAGACCGGGAGGATCAGCGGACGCCGACGAGGCTACGGGCGTGCCATTGGCTGCAGCCACCGGAGCATGCATACGGGCCTGCAAAGACGCCTCAGTGCCAGAGGCGCGTCGCGATGGTGCAGAGGCTAGCCAGTGTTTGCGCCGTTGGCCAGCCAGCATTGCGACCGAACCATGCGAGACTGACTGCATCCGCGCTGCACCCGAGCTCTGGCCTTCCGTGGTCGCGGTGCCTAGGTGGAGCGCATCTCTCACCGCGCGCTGGCTCGGGCCTAGCGCCGACGACATGCACTGTCGAGCTCCCTCACCTCTGCTGCCCTAGATCCACGCGCACCGTGCAATAGACGTGCCATTGCCGTGACGTCCACTGCCACGGCCCATACTCGTGCCTGCCACTCTCACCCACACGCGTCCCGCTGCCACCGCCTCGCGCTATGGGCCCCGTCACGACCGTCGCTGCTCGCTGAAGCTCACCATGAGAACCGCCGACCAACTACCTCTTGCCAGCGGCCACACGCACCCCAATCCGCTTGCCTCGCACGCACCCCTCGACATGAACGGCGCCCACCACCCGGAGCCCGCTGCCTCCTCGCGCCCCAGCACTGCTGCCGCCGCCGATGCCGCGCCTGCCTCGCCCGTCGACGAACATGCGCCGCCTGCCCGCCCTGCCTCGATAGGCCCTCAGTCTGCCCGTCCCAGCATGTTGCGCGCGAAGAGCGACTTTGGGCCGCGCCATCCTGCCCTCCCGCCCGAGAGCACCGACGAGGGAAGCGTCGACGGCCACTTCAAGATCCGCCATGGCTGGGACGACCAGCTCAACTCGGAGGAGTACAGCAACCTGCTCACCTCAAACTTCTTCATGTACTACACCGACAAGAAACACGAGACGGGCGGCCACCCCAAGAACCAGGACTGTGCCTTCCCCGTCCAAGAATGGCGCATGCGGGACCGCCTCAAGACCGTCTCGGCTGTCCTCGCTCTCTGCCTCAACATTGGCGTTGATCCCCCAGACGTCATCAAGACCAATCCGTGTGCCAAGGAGGAGTGCTGGATCGACCCGACGGTTACCTCCCAGACGCCCGGCCACACGCCCATGAACCAGATCGGAAAGGCCCTCCAGACCCAGTACGAGCAGCTGAGCATGCGCACGCGCTACAAACTGCTGCTAGACCCCACAACCGAAGAGACGAGGAAATACGCGTCAACTCTGCGCCGGAATGCCCGCAATGAGCGAGTCTTGTTCCACTACAACGGCCATGGCGTGCCCAAACCAACGTCTTCCGGCGAGATCTGGGTCTTTAACAGAAACTACACGCAGTACATTCCCTTGTCGCTCTACGACTTGCAATCCTGGATCGGCGCACCTAGTCTGTTCGTCTATGACTGCTCCGATGCTGGCCTCATCATCAGCAACTTCAACCGCTTTGCCGAGAAACACCAGGCCGAGTTTGAGGAGGCGCGCCGGAGAGATCCCAGCGTCGAGCATGTCGATTTCAGTGATTGCATCCATCTGGCAGCATGCAGAGAGCGCGAGTCTCTCCCTACTAACCCCGAGCTGCCTGCTGATATCTTCACATCCTGTCTGACGGACCCCATAACCATGGCCGTACGCTTCTTCATCTTGCAAAATCCACTCCCGAGCAAGGTCAGCCTACGAGATGCCCACAATATTCCAGGCAAAGTCTCTGAGCGTAGAACGCCTATTGGTGAGCTGAACTGGATTTTCACAGCCATTACCGACACCATTGCGTGGAACTCTCTCTCCAAACCTCTGTTCAAGAAACTGTTCCGTCAGGACTTGATGGTTGCTGCTCTATTCCGCAATTATCTTCTTGCACAGCGCGTCATGCGCGCATACCACTGCAATCCCGTCTCCCATCCCGAGATCCCCCAAACACACAACCACCCGCTCTGGCGCAGTTGGGACTTGGCCGTTGAGCTGATCCTGGCTCAGCTGCCGGATTTGCAGGCCGAAGCACGCGGAGAAAAAGATTTCAACTACAAACACTCCGACTTCTTCTCTGAACAGCTGACCGCTTTCGAGGTATACCTGACACAGGGCGCCGTGGAGCAAAAGGTACCGGAACAACTTCCTATAGTGCTCCAAGTACTACTCAGTCAAGTGCATCGTCTCCGAGCGTTGATCCTATTGTCGAGTTTCTTAGATCATGGCCCCTGGGCTGTAAATCTTGCACTCAGCATTGGCATCTTCCCATACGTCCTCAAGCTACTACAATCGCAAGCCAATGAGCTCAAGCCAGTCATGGTATTCATCTGGGCCCGAATACTTGCCGTCGATCAGTCCTGCCAAGCCGATCTTCTCAAGGACAACGGCTATCAGTACTTCATCAACATATTCAATCCCAATTCTGGTATTCAAGATTCAATCCAAAAGACTGCCTGTTAGCTAAACTCAAACAGGTATACCTATTCAGAACGCAAGCGAACACCGCGCAATGTGTGCCTTCATAGTCTCCATGTTCTGCAAAGACTACAACCAAGGACAACGTGCTTCACTAAGCACAGAGCTTGTAGAGAGCTGCTTGGATCATCTCAAAGATATGCAGAACCCGTTGCTCAGGCAATGGTCGTGCCTTTGTCTGAGCAAGCTCTGGGTCAACTACGAAGAAGCCAAGTGGGTCGGCATACGGTGCATGGCACATGAACGACTTTGCGAGCTAATCGTGGACCCCGTTGCTGAGGTACGGGCAGCAATGCTGCATGCATTGGCGTCCTTCCTTGGTATCCGCGATGTTACCCCACAGGTGGCCAACATCGAAGAGTCCATCGCGTCTATGATCCTCATTATGACCATGGACGGTAATAGTATGGTGCGCAAAGAGCTTCTCATCTTTTTCTCAACGTTCGTTGCCCGCTACAAGACCCGGTTCATCGTTGCCGCATTCGAGCAACTATCGGAGGATTACGCCAACTCAGACACAAAGCAATCTGATGACAAGAACCCCGATGCGCTCCACATGAAAGCACGTACAGGAGCTACGGGCAGTGCTTCCGAATCGACGTCTTGTTCGCAAAATACCATATACTCTGCCATTTGGAAAGAGTTGCTGGTCATGTCAGTCGATCCGCATCCGGAGATCGCAAAAGACGCTGGAATTGTTGTTGATTACATCCTGATATCACTTATCGAGTCGTCTCTAGCCAAGTTTGTACAGCCCCAACTAGACGAAGCTCTCCAAAACGCGCCAGCTCCTCGACCCATGCGCCGTGCAGTAGAAGTGACTTCTGCGCCGCAAAAAGCCTCGAATCCCCCAACACCGACCAAAGACTCAACCTACTTGTCACTCTTCGGTGGCATCCGAAAGTCCACGAGTGTCGGTGCTTCGCTGAAGAATCTCTGGGCTGGCCAAGATTCAGCAAGCCCTCGACAGAAATCTTCAGGGAGATCTGCTGCCGATGATGCCCACACTCCCGCGGTCTCTCGCCCCCAGACACCTGAAAAGTATCATACCGTAGAGCAGCCAACCTCACGAGGGTTCAAGAACAGGAACTTGACGGAGAAACCAGAAATCCCACTTAAGAGTGTATTCTTCGAATGGTCCGTAGAGTACTTCCGCGAACCTCAGATGAAGCCCACAGAAGCCGACGAACCAGGAAGTACCGACTATAATGGCAGACTCTGGCGGAGGAACCGTAACGACAGGATCATTGCCGAGACTCAGCCGTTGAAGGACATTGCCGTTTCCAATCGTTGGGACGTGCCACGAGGATATTTCGACAACCTCAGCCAACCTGCCAAGATGTGTTTCCACCAGTTTGAGGACCATCTCGTAGTGACAGATACACGGGATACTGTCAATATTTTCGACTACTCAAAGTCGGTCAACAGAATCAATTCTTTCTCTAACGGGAACCCTCCCGAGTCGAGAATAACGGACGTGCGATTCATCAACGAGGACGACCAGGCACTACTAATGACAGGATCCTCGGATGGTGTAATCAAGATATTCCGCAATTACGACCGTAAAGGAGAGACAGAACTAGTGACAGGATTCCGCGCGCTTACTGATCTTGTTTCAAGTAACAAGAACGCCGGTCTGGTATTCGATTGGCAGCAAGGAAGAGGTCTCATCCTAGTTGCTGGCGACGTGAAGGTCATTCGCGTGTGGAACGCTGGGACCGAAGTATGCACCAATGTAAGTTGCGCTCTCCGCATCCGTGATGTCGTAGCTGACCTGAGTAGGACCTTCCCGCACGATCCGGTTCTTGTATTACATCCTTAACCTCTGATCAAGTCGAGGGAGATGTCTTTGTTGCTGGTTTTGGTGATGGTGCCATCCGAGTATACGATCAACGCCAAAAGCCCGCCACCGCCATGGTCAAGGTCTGGAAAGAGCACAAGCAATGGATCACCAACGTTCACCTGCAGCGTGGTGGACAGCGTGAACTTGTGAGCGGCTGCCGTGGCGGTGAGGTCAAGCTGTGGGACATACGCTGGGATCGAAGCGTAAAGACTATCCAAGCAACTTCCGACACCCTACGAACACTCAGCGTTCATGAACATGCTCCCGTTTTTGCCACGTAAGTGCTCATCACATTCCAAGATTACGAAACATGTTAACATTAACGTGTGTAGTGGCACGCAACGGCATCGTGTGAAGATCTTCAACATCAACAACGGCCAGCCTGTGTCGCACCTTGAGCCCTATTCGGGTTTCCTTCGCGATCGATCTGCCCCTATCTCGGTCACTGCATTTCACCCTCATCGACTGATGATTGCTGCGGCGGCTGCCAACGACACTCACGTCAACATATTCTCATGTCACGAACCAAAGCATTCAGCTGTCAAGACAGTGAAACTTTGGGATGGGAACGCGAGCGCGTCGACCTCCAGTCGAACGTCCATCGTTGGCTGAAGGCTGACTATCGACGACACCCAGCAGTGAGAGACTGCAAAGAGAATGAGATAGTTGCGCTGGCGGCTGAATCACAAAACGATCGTTGAGGACATGACCTTCTTTTTTTAGACCATGAAGCATAGCAGCTTGTTTTGCTGCAGGGCGTCTGGGAAGCATTGGGTTTGAGCGGGAATGACAATTTTTACTATACCCAGCTACATTAGTTAGTAATTGTATGAGAGTTGAAACATGTATCGGAACCATTGAAGCTACTAGGCGGGCATTGTATTGTACTTAGACAGCCCAGGTGTTCAAGGATCCCGTAGTGGGCTATGACGCCGCGGGGATAGCGGGGCTGTGATTCATCCACGGCTGCCCCACTATGGAAATGTGAGTCCCTAGCACACGTCTGACTATAGAACAACGCGACTCAAAACACCCCCAATCCAACCACAATGAGTGACGCCGCAGCTGCTGGCGCTGAGCCGCCCTCCAAGAACGCGCTGAAGAAGGCGCAGAAAGAGAAAGAGAAGGTCAGTAGAGTCTCTTTCCCGTCAAGTCCATGATATTAACAGTAGCCCAGGCAGAGAAGAAGGCCGCAGCCAAAGCCCGCGAACTCGCTGAGCGTACCAAGAAAGAAGTCGACGATGGCGCCGACGTTTCCGCAGGCGCATACGGCGAACTTCCCCTCATTGGATCCAAAGAGTACAAGCCTACGGGAACTCCGCGCACTGAGCTTACCGATGTCGCCAACAACGAGGACAAGGAGATTACATTCAGGTGCTGGGTTGAGAATGCAAGGGTGCAATCTGCGAAGCTCGCTTTCTTGAACCTACGACAAAACCTCAACACCGTGCAGGCTGTCGTTGCGGCCAGCGACAAGCTGAGCAAGCAGATGGTCAAGTTCTGCGGCAACGTTAGCACCGAGAGCACACTCGTCGTTACGGGTATAGTCAAGCGTGTGAAGGAGCCCATAAAGAGTGCCAGTATCACCGACTTCGAGATTCATGTCCAGAAGCTGTTCGTCGAGGCCAGTGCTGAGATTCCGCTACCGCTTCAAGTGTCGGACGCGGAACGCCCCATGCCAACTGAGACTGCTGCGGAAGAGGATCAGAAAGAGGAGGAAGGTGGCGAGCGCCCACTCGTCAGTCTGAACACAAGGTTGAACAACCGGACGCTTGATCTGCGAGCCAAGATCAACCAATCTATCTTCGTCATCAAGAGCGGTGTTTGCGCCTTGTTCCAAGAGTTCCTCTCGAAGAAGGGCTTCGTTCTGGTGCATACTCCAAAGATTCTGTATGTTACTCGTGTCGTGATTCGTTGCAGATACTAACATGACATTTAGTGGAGCTGCCTCTGAGGGAGGTGCTAATGTCTTCGAGCTGAAGTACTTCGGTCGCCCCGCCTACCTTGCTCAGTCACCACAGTTCTACAAGCAAATGTTGATCGCCTCCCGCTTCCAAAAGGTCATGGAAATCGGTCCCGTATTCCGCGCCGAGAACTCCAACACGGCCCGTCACTTGACCGAGTTCACTGGACTGGATCTTGAGATGGAATTCCAGGAGAACTACCATGAAGTCATGAGTGTGCTGGAAGACCTCATGCTCTTCATCTTCAACGAGCTCAACGCACGGTACAAGAAAGAGACAGAACTTGTAAGAGGAGTGTATCACGTCGATGAGTTCAAGCTTCCTCAGTCCGGAAACGTTCCCAGAATTCCTTTCCAAGAAGGTATCAAAATGCTGCGCGAAGCTGGTGAGGAGCTTGGAGACTACGACGATCTGACGTAAGTGCGAAAGAGAAATCCTCAAAGGCTTGACTAATGTTTCCAGAACACCTCAAGAGAAGATGCTTGGCCGTCTTGTTCTCGAGAAGTACAACACCGACTTCTACACTCTGGACCAATTCCCTCTTGCTATTCGTCCCGCATATACGATGCCCTCACCCGCCGACCCTGCTCTCTCAAACTCCTATGACATGTTCATGAGGGGTCAAGAGATCTGCTCGGGTGCGCAGCGTATCCATCACTCAGAGCTGCTCGCAGAGCAGATGCGCAAGCATGATCCCCCGATTGATCCCGCCGGTGCTGGAACCAAGGACTACGTAGACTGCTTCAAGTACGGTTGCCCGCCGCACGCCGGAGGTGGTTTCGGTCTGGAGAGGATTGTACAGTTCTGGCTCGGATTGCCTAACATCAGGATGTGCAGCCTGTTCCCCCGAGACCCCCAGCGTGTTGTGCCCTAAACAAAATCTGCAAAAGAAGAACGATGAAACACTGCTCGACAGCGTCGGCTTAGCAGGGATGGGTCACGATGATGGGCGCAGACACAGCACCTTTCGTACAAAAAGGGTCCTGAGTTTGGCATATGGTCTCAGAGCTGACGCGTATGGCATGAGACAAAGATTGAGAATTGATTCATTGACGGCGTCGCGTCTCATGGAGCTCACGACCCGTAGTGTCAATCGCAGATACTAGAGAAATATAAATATATTACATGTTCATCATTCAGCCTACAAGCACACTACTCCTTTGAACAATTGTTCTGCAGCGTCTGCTTGCTTCCAACGGGATGTGTCGCCTATGACGATCTAACCATGGTACTGAAACGCGCTCTCGCTGGAACACTTCTAATGTACTCAGGCGGGCTCATTAGAGTCAAACAGCCTTCATCCAGTGCGACCAGACGCAGATGATCAACGGAATCTGGCCATGTAAGACCCGTCGACAACTCAGTCTGGCATTGACACGGACGCCGATCTCTCATGCGTCGCGCGTGCTAGTCGCAAACGTCGAGTTATGCCCTTCACAGCCAGTTATCCGCCAACAGCGGATAGCCCGCCTACGATCAGTCTTCACATAGACCAACGTGCGTGACAATGGCGCCATCCTTCCATCGTGCGATTGCAAAGTCTGACATAGCAATCCGCGTATCTTCTTCAACATTGCTTCAGCGTCGCGGCAGCAAGCTTCTTCTGTGCTTCGTCCCCGAGGGCCGCGGCATCCACCTCTTGTATAGCCTGCCCAATTGCCAATGTCGTCTTGACGTTTCCTCCATCAACGTGCACAAGTCCGTTTCGGCCGACGGTAACCTCGAAACCGATTTTGGAGCCCAGGGTTTCCAACAGAGATATGCCTCCGCGCGCTGCAAGCATCCTCCGTGCCATACCCAGGCTTATCTTGAACACCATACCCCCCTTTAACAGACCGAGACCTTCGCCCTTGCCCGTGGAGGGATCGACACAGGTGAGCTCTGATGGTAGGTCCTTGCCGGCACTCGCGACGCGACAGTAGACCAGGGAGTTTGGGGGCAGCTGGGGCCGTGTCTTCTTGGTCGCGCCTTCGAAGGCTAGGTGGGGAAGGGTCGCAGCCGGCGTGTTCGGGGTGAGGAGGCAATTGAAGTTCTCGGCGGCAGAGCCATTCACGGTCGCGATGACGAGTTCGCCTGCAAAAGGAAGATACTGTCAAGGGAATTAGCAAGCATAGTGAAAGAGACAGCATAGATCTCTCACCCTTCCAGTGTTGTACTCGACCGAAGCAGCATTCTTCTTGTTGTCCGTCACGAGCGCGCCCGCGACCGTGGCCGTGACCGTGTCTGGCGGCGTGTGTCGCAAACCGGGTCCGAGGGTGAGCGTCTTCTTTTTACCTGTGCCAGTTGGTAGGGCGCTCTGCGCGATGTTGTCGCCAGGCAGTACGATAGTAGCTGAGGCTGCCATGGTAGTGCTCGCAAAGTCGTGTCCTTGGGTGTGGTAGAGCACCTGGTAACATGCGCCGTCCCTCGAGTGAGCTCATTCCGAGAAGCCCGTGCGCTTCCGAGAAAAATGCACGACTCTGAATTTCTTAGCCGCGAAGAAACACACGCGCTACAAACGCTACCACAGCCGGCTATCTTCTGTTCACCTGCCCCTGCCGCTTTATTGTCGATACTGAACGGCTTTCGTTTGACTCGAATCCTCTTTCCGTAACCCGAAAACGTCTTCCCGCGCAAGATGAGTGCGCAAGCGGACCCCGCGCAGCGAGTCGCGATAGGCATATCCTTTGGCAACTCGTACAGTTCCATTGCTTTCACTTCGGGTGTAAGTGCCCATGTCTGTCGCCAATGTCTCTGGATGTTTCTGACGCATAACAGGAAGGCAAAGCAGAGGTCATCGCCAACGAAGACGGAGGTACGCCGCCTGCTGCACGCTCTGGATCCCCTCGACTGCTAACACTTGAAAAGACCGCCAAATCCCTACCGCCCTGTCCTACGTCGAAGGAGAAGAACTACACGGAGGTCAGGCCAAGACCCAATTCGTCCGCAATGCGAAGAACACAGTCGCCTACTTCCGCGACTTCCTCGGCCAAGAGTAGGCAATCCTATCCTACCTGTCCAACCACGTCGACTGACACCCTGCAGCTACAAATCGATAGACCCCTCCCCATGCCACCAGTCGGCCCATCCCGTACAGCACGAAGACGGCGTTGCGTTCAACATCCGCGATACCGCCGACGAGCAGGAGAACACCGTATCCGTTATCGATGCCACAACACGTCACCTGAAGAGACTACGGAGTTCTGCCTCTGACTACCTTGGAAAGGAGGTCAACGCCGCCGTCATCACCGTACCCACAAACTTCAGTGATGCCCAGAAGGAGGCCCTCAAGAAGGCGTCGACAAACGCTGGCATCGAGGTCCTACAGTTCATCCACGAGCCCACAGCTGCTGTCCTAGCATACGATGCCCGTCCTGGTGCCCAGTTGGCTGACAAGATCATCGTCGTTGCCGATCTGGGAGGCACCCGTTCGGACGTGGCTGTGGTTGCGTCCCGTGGCGGCATCTACACCATCCTGGCCACTCTACACGACTACGATGTCAGTGGCTCCAAGCTCGACCAAGTGCTCATGGAACATTTCGCCAAGGAGTTCCTCAAGAAGCACAAGTCGGCCGGTGACCCTCGGGAAAACGATCGATCGTTGGCCAAGTTGAAGCTTGAGTGCGAAGCTGTCAAGAAGGCGCTTTCCATTGGTACCACCGCCAACTT